ATTTTGCCTTTAAATCTAAATAAATCGTTCACTCGCCAGTAACCTACAATCATCTGTTGAGATGCATTGATATGCATTGAAACACGACTGCAATTGTGTAGCCATTTTGACATGTTCCCGGTGTAATATCATAAAATTAAGTATATATATATATTAATTCAAATAGTGCGTGTGTGTGTGTGTGTGTGTGTGTGTGTGTGTGTGTGTGTGTGTGTGTGTGTGTGTGTGTGTGTGTGTGTGTGTTTGAGAAATTAAAAAATAACATTTGTAAATTGGTGTTTTCTCCGCAGAAAATACTTTGACATATCTGGGTTTATCAGTAAGCCGCACATTACCTGCTTTAAAGGCGCACATGGGGCGCCCTAAGTTCGATTTAGATGAATGCCCCACCACTGAAGTCTTATGCCAAATTTTTAAGAATTATATAATTACTTAAGCACAAGGATATAACAGTAAGCACTTAGCAAGAATCTAATTTGTTATCCTCATGAATTGGACAGCAATATCAGTTTTCTTTTCTCACTATTACAGCATCTTTTTCTATTCCCATTCGCCTTCGGATTAGGGGGTTACTTAAGACTCTTCTGTCTTATCTTATGGGATGTTATCGGGCGGTAGTTTTTCAGCATTAATTGACACTATGTATTGGTGAAAATAACGTTGAAATTATATATTAGGTGTGTGCAAAAAAAAAACTCTAGTGTTTGTTTTTAGCGATTTTAACTGTATTCAGTTTCGACTTTCAAAAAAGGATAACTGGTGAACTATACAAGTAAACCATTGATTATACGATAACCGGTGTTCATTCAATATTACGAATACACCTTACATCTGTAGGACTACTAGAGAACTACAGAATTCTTCGTTTTCAAATGATCTGTTCAGCTCATCATAGAGCCGAAATGCTTTGCAAGAATAATATATACAGAGACTTTACTTACTCCGAAACATTACATTCCTTATCCAACCCCCAAGACCAAGAGATAGGGAGTTCTATGGAGCTGAATATCTCTCACTTTTCCCGAAGTTTTAAAATTGGCACATTCTGGTAAACCTGACATTTATCAAAGAATATGAGACATTTTCACTTAATTTAAGGTTCTAATAATCATAATATTCTAAAGATATGCAATGCTGCTAATTACGGTGCCTTATTTAATTATTGCTATACGACATCTGTTGGCCTGACAAAGCAAATAATACAACAAGATTCTGAGACTAAGGGTGTCGAAGAATCGGTCTTATACTAAACACACACACACACACACATATACACGCATAGAATCGCCCTGAACACTTGGAATACTGAGAGAGTTCCAAAGGACTGAAGAGATGCGATCATGACAAAGGCAAAGAATATATAATGGAGCTTTGTGAACATTATTGTGGTTTAGCTTTACTTTCGTCAGAGGGTAAAATCTTAATGGGGATTTTACTGTTTCGACTGAATGCTGATGTTGTGGATACGATACTGCCAGAGCCACAATGTGCCTTCCAGCCTAAATAACCGTTAGAGTAGACTACAACAATCAATCCAAAAATTGGACGGAAAAATAGCTATAATTACCTTCCCAGATCAAAACAAACTACTAAACAAACGATTAGAACTCATCTCAAAAAAAGTTTTACTACGTTACTAAAAAATCGAAAACCGAAAGGAATAAATAAAAATATAAAATAAAAACAAGTAAAATAAATTAATCCAAATAAATAAATAAACCACTCTCACAAAAATAACTGTTAGAATAGTCTACCCACAATGCACCACTGACCCGTATATATAAATAGTCGAGAAAAAAAACAACACATGTGGCCTGATGATTGCGCTTAGCATGAAACAGTCTGTCGCCTCTGTTCAATGTTCACGTTTATATTTACATACGCTCTATCTCTAATATTGAGCACTTTATTCCATAAATATAGCACACCTTAAAACTATATATCTTCATATATATATATATATGTGTGTGTGTGTGTGTGTGTGTGATTTGATTAAAAACTATGTTTCTTGATTATTTTTTTACTTACTTTTTCGATGTTTCTAATTATTTTTCTGATTCGTGTTTGTAAACTAATTTTCACACGTCTAAACGTATATATATATAAATTTATTTATTTCTATATACTCTGTTATAATAAATACATTGAGCTCTCTTTGTGGACCAGTTTTAATATTCTATATTATTAGGATTCACTTGGATTATATACCAACGGATTATTTACCTATATATGTATGTGTGTGTGTGTGTGTGTGTGTGTGTGTGTGTGTGTGTGTGTATTTTATATATATATATATATATATATATATATGTGTGTGTGTGTATATTTACCTATATATATATATATGTATATTTACCTATATATATATATATATATATGTATGTGTGTGTGTATTTACCTATATATATATATATATATATATATATATATATATATTTACTTATATATATATATATATATATATATATATATATTTATATATATATATATATATATATATATATATATATATAATTGTTAACTGTGGTATCGGGAGACAATATAGAGTTTTTGTTCAAGCTATCAAGTGCTGGAGTAGTCACTAATTTGGGACCCCCCCCCACCTAGGATTGCTAAACGGAGGGAATATGATCAATAATTGGAAGGGAAAAAGTCTGTCTTAATGTTTATTGTCAATTATTTGAGTTGATTTGATAACAAGTTGACAAGAGTTCATGGTCGTCTCAAGTGTTGATTGTTAACGCGGATAATTTTAACAAAAGTATTCACTCGTAGGTCAGTAAGAAAAGTGGATGAAATATTCTCTTCCGGTTAAATGCTAATAGACGGAGAGGTCCAAATGTGAGGAGTTACCCAATGAGCCAACTAACAATGTGAGTAAGGTGTCATCTTTATATCCAGCTATATTACTCTCCGGATGGACTCTACTCTGTTCACTTCCCAGACTTGTACAATGGGGTGGTTTTATTCAACACCCACAGAGCCCACCTGTTATTTATACTGCAAATATGCTGAACAGACCTTAGTTACAGTTTCTGGGAAAGAGTGTGATCAACAATTTGAACAAGGCCCACACGATATGTTCTTGTACAAAATTTGACTTGAACTATTAATAAATGCTATGTTCAATTTTTAAAGAATTTAGTAACGAATTTCACCAACCCGATTTGAATTCTAGAGACTTGCGGCCGTCAGTTTCGTGATCTATCCATCTTCAATTCATCTCCATGGAGTAAATCTTCAAATCCATAAGGCCAGATTAACATTTAAGATTGAAAATAAAGTTGCAAATAAGAAATATAAATTCTAAATTAGAGAGACGCTGGTTTTGAAAACAGCATTCAGTTAGTTATGTGCCATGCGTGATACATGCTTAGGCGTATCTTTTCTGACGAGGAAGATTTTTTCCCGCAGTAGGTTACCATTTCTTTCTACGGTAGATCAGTTGCCATCCAAACCTATAAAATCTGGTCTGTCCTGCTATTTACCCATAGCTGAGGAGAGAAGAAGAGGATTCATACCTTTCCTAAGGGTATTAGCACGTAAGTGAATGTAATGGACTCGACTGGATTTCGAACTCGGCTCTCCGACTCCTCAATCAAAGCCGCTATCCATTACTCCAGCGCAAAAAAGGGGGCGTTGGAAAATCAAGGGTGGCAACTCTATTTTTTTTCGAAAAATCAAAAGAATAATTGATAATAGTATTACTAAACTAAAACTAATATCAAGTTTAAAAGTATGCCGTGATAATATAAAATAAAATAATATAAAATAAAACAAAATAACATAAAATAATAATAATATCCTGCATTTTACAAGGCTCTTTGGGTAAATATTTTTTTAAAAAAAGTCTCATTTCAAATAAATTTTATTCATTTCAATATTAACTAACGAGCCTCTCCAACGCAGCATTCGAAATAAATCAAGCTCCTTTGTTGTTAGTTTCTTAATGACGCTCGGCCAACACAAAATCAGTGTTTGAATAATATTAGCTAGCGTTCCAATAATCTTTTATAAATATTTAAACAATATTTCTAAGTTTTCAAATAAATTTTATCAAGATTTTTTTTGTTTTACTTTTTTTTTCCGCTAACAGAAAAAAATCTTTGTCGCTGTTTGTGTTATCTTCATGGGTGTGTGTCTGATAACTTTTTCTTCTTGTGTTCAAAAAATAATCTCGTACACTGTTGACCCCCCCCACACACACACACGCCGCCGTTCCCCCCAATCATCGTTAGTGTCCCACTAGAAGACATTTCTTTGTGTTATTTTCTATAACCCCCAGTTAATGTTCAACTAATCTTAGTTAGCATTCAAATAATCTGCACAGTCGTTTCCTGCCGAAGTTTTATTCTGAATGCGATTTTAATTAAAAGGCATATTTTATCAGGACGTCAATCTCGCATCAGGCCATTAGCCTAGCCGGCTGGAATCTCTGCTCCTTTCCAATATTAAGAGACGAGTCGTCAGCCCGTAAGCGCCATATTGCATATTCCAATGTTATCGCTAACTATAACATCGTCAGAAACCCTGGACGTACGTAGCAGATTACAGCGAGATAAGCCGCTGTATACTTTTCCAAAATCGTCATTGTAAAACACTCAGTGCTAAAATATCCAGATGTTCCGAAAACGAAAAGAGTAGATTCTTTCTGTGTTATTTCTGATTAATCTAACATTTGATAGCCTCTTCGCCTTGGTAAGGTTTGTTGGTTGTTGATTTTTGGTATTTTGGTAATTTTGTTCTTAGTTTGCTGAGAATGGTGTCATTTGGACGGGCGTTAAAAACTTGAGAAACGACCGCTGTCCAAGACAAATAAAGACGAGAAAAAAAAGTCTATAATGAAAAATGAAAGGAAGGTAAGCAGAGAGGAGAAACGAGCGAATAAAGGAAGGGGTGGAAGGAAGGGACAAAGAAGAAAATAAAGGAGGAAAGAAAGTAAGGAGAAGGAGGGAAGAAAGGAAAGAAGGGAATGTGTAAAAAAAAAAAAAGTGAAAACTTCAAGTTCTCATAAAATTAGATAGAATATAACCCAATAGGGAGGAATAGATAAGATGAAGAGAGGAAGAAAGAAAACGTATATAACAGTGTGAGAGGAGAGAAGAAAGAGAGATAAAGACTACGTGAGTAGGGAAAGACAGAGAAGATATGAGACGGGAAAAGCATGATGTATGAAAGGAAGAGAAAAAGAAAAACGATATGTAGGAGGAGGAAAAGGAATAAAGACAATACGTGAATGGATAAAAAGAAAGAAAGATTATGTGAGAGGGAGGTGAAGAAACGAAACATAGAAGAAAGAAAGTAGTGAGAAAAGTGTTATTAGGGAGGAAGAAAGGCAATACGTGAGTGGGGAAAGAGAAGGAATGACGGTACATGAGAGAGGTAAAAATTATACCTGAAAGTAAGAAAGAAAAAAGTGTGAAAGAAAGAAAGATGATTATGTGAGAGAGTGAGAGAACGTAAAAAAGTGGATAGAGGGAAGGTGAGATAAAAATAAATAAAAGATTGAGTAAGATTAAGAAAAACACGTGTCTACATAGGTACAGTAAATAAGAAAAAGTGCATCTTAAGTGCATCTTTTGGTTGGAGATCAGAAAAAAAAATTCAATAAAAATCTAGTTTCAGGGAGCCGACCTCAATACCTGCCTATCTTACTTACATTGGTCAAAAGGGTCAATCGCTGATACCTCAGGTATTTCAAAAGAGAGCCCACTCACTCCTCCCTCACTTACTTATCTTTTCTTTCTCTCTTTTTATTCAGCACTTTTCTTACTTCCTTCTTTACTTACTTTTTTCCCTTTTCTTCCTTGCTTCTATCTCCTTTCTTTCTATTCTTCTCTTTCGTTTGTTCTTTCTTTCTTTCCTTCCAGTCACTTCTTCTTTCTTTATATCCTTCTCCTTCGTTTCTTTCTTTCTCCGTTCGTTCCTTCCTTTCACCCCCTTTCTTTCTTCCTTCCTTCCTTCCTTCCTTCCTTCCTTCCTTCCTTCCTTCCTTCCTTCATTCCTTCCTTCCTTCCTTACGTTCCTCTCAATTTTCATTCTGCGTGTCTTCTATTCGTTCCTTTGCCCTTCTTATCAACTATTCTCACTTTTAATTTGTTGTCGACTTCCATTTTAGCTTCAGCATATCAGAAGGAATAACTAAAGCGTCTTAGAAAATCTAAAGTTATATATATATATATATATGAAATCAGATGTCCGATATATAAAAACTGAACACACTTTATATAGTCATGCTTCATTGAGTTTTTTTCACAGACACAGATTCACGTAGCGTATGAAGTGTGTTGTTCCTCGTATCCACATGTTTCATTTTCTTTGGGTTACAGTCTGAAACAAAAACACAAGTAATCGATATAACCTTGATTGATGAACTCTGCAATGACTCGATAAATGTTTGGGGAGTCGATAAAATTCAGAGGATCGAATTATGCGACTTAACAATGAATAAAATAATTGATAGATTTTTTGGCAATGTTTTTTTTTATTATTTTTATTATTCTTCCAGCGATAAAGGCAAATGCATAATTCAACTCATAACTGATATTAAAATAATTCCATATTACTTTTTATTAGGCGGGTGAAAATGTTTCCAGCGATTTTTTTTTTTTTTTTTTTTTTTGTAACCGGTTAAGTTTTTTTTTTTTTTAATCATTTCATTCCCAATCAAGGCGGGAATGCCACTAGTGCGCAGGAGCTTACAGGGAGTGGAAGTGAAAGAAAAGACTGAGTATAGGGAGGATTGCAGAAAGGACAAAAGATGAACGGGATTCCAGAAGAGAGAAGATGGCAATTGACGTTGCATTTAAATTTTGTTAATCATTTCACCCCAAGCAAGGTGGGAATGCCACTAGTACGCAGGGGTTTACAGGGAGTGGAAGTGAGAGAAAAGACTGAGGATAGGGAGGATTGCAGAAAGGACAAAAGATGAACGGGATTCAAGAAGATAGAAGATGGCGATTGGCGTTGTATATATTCAGTCTCTGTGTCTTTTGTTTTGTTTTGTTTTTGTTTGTTTTGTTTTGTTTTTTCTTAAAGCGGGCATTTGGAATTCTTGCACATGCCTTATACAAATATATAAATCTCATAACAGCATTTTGTATGGGGTCTGAAAGATAATTTGTATAATGGTGTCTCTCTCTCTCTCTCTCTCTCTCTCTCTCTCTCTCTCTCTCTCTCTCTCTCTAAATTGATTAACGCTTGCATGATGATTGGGTAACTGATGATTTTCACCCCCTCCATACACACAGGTTTTGTTGAAACTAAGCTTGTCCTAAATCTATAACAATGCTACTGAGCTGAACTGTATCATTTGTCTAAAATCATTTCTGCCATTAATTTTCAAAAATCAAAAGACTTCATTTTCCAGTTTTTTTTTTTTGTTTTTTTTTTCTAAGACATCAGCTTCTAAAAAATAAAATGTTTACTGTTGTATCCTCAAAGAGGTTATAAATAGACAAAGGTGCTACTCGAGTGGAAGGAAAAGCCAAAAAAAAAGAGAGGTTTATTGTAAAAGAGAATACACTACTGAAAGACAGGGAGTCGACTAACACTTTCCGAAGCCAGACAGAAAGACTCTGGTATGTCCTACATATATTACTGATATAGTCAGTCAACAATAGGTAATAGGGAGAGTGGGACATTCCATTGCAACATTTACAAATCTAAAAAATATTTTTTTATGAGAAGATCAGGTAAAAAAAAATAGAATCAGGCGTTTTTAAAACTTTCCATCTGATTCAGTTCCCTTCAGGGTGTTGGTGATCATGTTCTTTTGTCCTTTTTAGCCGTTTGTCTGCTTGTTATCGTTTCTCATCCATTTACTCAAGCTTCCTATGCATTGTTTACCTCTGTCCCGCTTGCCTTCAGTCTGTCATGAGAGTATAAAATTTTACAAGCCCTTTTTCCTCAGTATGTGCCCTAGAAATTTCAAATGTCACTTCCTGATGTTAGATATAAGTGTATTTTTTGTTTCTATTTGCTCTAAAACGTTTGAGATAAGAGTTTTACAGAGGTAAAAAGAGAAAGTGAAGAAAAGTCACAGGTGATATTTTGGTGACTAGAAAAAAAATCACAATGTTCTTTTTTTGTTAAAATTTAAAAAATATAATAATATAATATTATAAAATGAGTAAAAAGGCTTTTTGGTTACTTATTTTTGAGAACCCCTCAATCAGTCGGTTAAGTGCCATACGCGATGCACGCTTGGGCGATCATGTATCTTTCGATTCATGACTGACTAGTAGACTGTTCTAGTTCCACGTGCCATGTCTAATGGATGTCAGTTGTCAGTTGTCAATTATCTCCTGTTAATTCCCCTCTCCAAGTTCTCCACTGCTTTAACCAGGTATTGAACTCACAACTCTTTGGGTCCTGTCACTGGATCTAACACCTTTATCCACTGTGCCATGTGTCCTTAAGGATAACTGACATCCATTAGACATGGGACGTGGAACTAGAATAGTCTACCCAGCGAGCGAAATAAAGGGTTCAGTTCGACATTACAACAATCCGAAGAAGGCCGGAGCGTACAACTAAATATGGCAACAAAGATGAGGACAATAGTCCGAATAATGTAAATAGTGTACATAATACCTCATCTCAGAAATATAGACAGATACTGAATGAATATAATTATGAGTATTATTTATTACAACCTTTTAAAAAGGTTGCAGTACTGAGTACTGAAACCTTTTTAAAAGGTTGTGTAATATAAACGGTTGTAATATGTAACTAATTAATTAATTTGTACTATGTAACTAATTAATTAATTTATGGCTACGTAGGGGTTGAATAGCAGGACAGAGTGGCTCTTTTAGCCTTGGTTGGCAACCAGTCTATTGCAGAAAGAAACGGCAGCCTACTGTGGGAAAATCTTCTGCCTAGTCAGTGGCGAATCGAAAGAAACATGATCGTCCAAACGTGTATCACGTGATGGCACTTAACTGACTGAAGTTGATTGTATTGCGCCAGTATGTGACAACAGCATGCCTACTTTAAAAATCAGCATTCAAAATCCTGATATTTTATTTCGGATTCAACACAAACAAATGGGAAAATATAGTTATACGAAGCAGACCCCTATGTCGTCTGGTGTTACTCATTCGAAAATACGCGTTAATTTAAGTTAGAACTACTTTTTCCTTTAATGTCTCTTCAGTCACGTGACTATAATCGATATAACGAGGATTTCTTAACTATTTAATAATGATAATTATTATTATTAATATTATTATAATCATTATATTTGAAACTTTTACATATTTTCAAGAAACGGGTAATTATTTTTTAAACTTAAATATTTTTTTGTTTTCATTCTATTTTAAAAATATATATTTCCAAATGTTTTAAGGTCATAGAGGATAAATTAAATTAATTTTAATAACAAGAGCGATTAAACTCTTAAATCTTTATTGGACCCTTTTTTATTTATACTATTTACATGCGGATTATTGTTTTTTATCGTTGTTGTTATCACAACGTTTCAGTCGTTGTACCCTCAGGCCTTCATCAGAAGTATCAACTGAACCGTTTAAATATATTTAATAGATTAAATAAAGAGTTCAGTTTGGAAATGCCTGTAGGTTACCCGGATCGACATACAACTGACGAAGGCCGGAGGAAACACAGCGGCCGGAACGTTGTGATAATAACATCAAAGATAAGGACAATAGTTGGCATGTAAATAGTGAAAATAATGATAACTCATCATCCTAGAAATTCAAACAGAAAAGTGACATTTTGGCTGGCATTTTTTAAACATACCGAAAAAATGGTCGCATAAACAACTTTCAACACTCTATTGAAATCTTCAAGGGAAAAATAATGACGCTCTCATTCTCTCTATATATCTATCTATCTTGCGCTCTCACTCTCTCTCTCTATCTATCTATCTATCTATCTCTATCTCACTCTCTCTATATATCTCTCTCGATCACTCACTCTATCTCACTCACTCTCTCCCTCGCTATATATATCTATTTCTCTCACTCTCTCTCTCTCTCTATCTCACTCACTCTCTCTCTATATATATATATATTTCTCTCTCTCTCTCTCTCTCTCTCTATATATATATATATATATCGCTCTCACTCTCTCTCTCTATCTCACTCACTCTTCTCTCTCTATATATATATCTATTTCTTTCACTCTCTCTCTCCTGCTTTTTCATGTCTCTGCTGTTTTCCCCGCTCTCCTCTCCCTCTTTTCTATTTCTTTCTCACTATATGTATAGATCATGTCTCTTTTGACTTTCTGTCACTCTTTTTCTTTCTTTCTCAACCACCTTTCCTCTCCTCCCCCCCCCCTCTCTCTCTCTCTCTCTACTTCTCTGTCGTCTTTCCCTCATTCTCTCTTTCTCTCTTCCTCCCTTCTGTCTCTGCTATATATATATCCTGTCTCTGTTCACTTTCTGTCACTTTTTCTTTCTTCCCTCCACTCGCTCTATCTCTCACACCCTTTCTCTCTCCTTTACTCTTTGTCGTCATCCACTAACTCTCCCTCTCCCTTCCCCTGCTGTTTCTGCTGCCCTTTCTCTCTTTCCTTTCGTTTCTTTTACCAACTGCCTTTCCCGCTCTCTCTCTCTCTCTCTCTCTCTCTCTCGCTTCCTCCTCTTTTGTCTCTGCTGCCTCCCTTTTTCTCACTCTCTCTCTCCCTCTTCGTTTCTACCAACTCTTTCTTTTCCTCTCTCCTGTTATCTCTATTGTTTTATTTATTTCTTATCTCTGTTCCCTCTCTCTGTGGATGTCTGCTACATTTCTCTTTTTCTCTCTCTCCTATCATCTCTGCTGTCATTCTCTCTCACTTTCTCCTTCTCCCTCTAGTCTTGTTAAATGATCTTTCCCAGTTCTCCATTAATCATGGGTGCAAATTGTTAGCACGATATTCTACAACTTTCGTAGCTTCCGGTTAAGGTTTGGATTTTATTTTTAACCCCAATTTTTATTCCCCCCATTTATTTTTTATATTTTTATTTTTACCCTCATTTAAATTTTATTTTTACCCCCCTCATTTATTTTTATATTTTTATTTTTACCCCCATTACTGGGGTCCGCTAGAATGTTTGTTTTGATAACAGGTCCCCCCCTCTCTTTCTCTCTCTCACCGTCTATTTTACTCAGGTTCGAATCCAACTCATTCGCATTTATAATTGTTTATTTTTACCAACAACATTTTGAGAAATAACCACTGCCCGCTTAGTTCGGATTTGGTGGGGGTACTTATGCGTACACTAAAAGTATATCTTTTTGGTTTTATTTTTCATTTTATCTGAAGCGAATTTTGAAAACTCATTTTTTTTTTTTTCCTCAACTTTTTTTTTTTTTTTTTTGTGGTCAGAAAATTGACAAACAGCGCGCGGTACTGTTTGAAGAAGAAGGATATGTAATACTTTAATCATGTCAATATTGATATTACATTTTAGCGTGAAATTCTATTAAACGCAGATTAAAAGACACACGACCATTTAACATCTATCACGGCGAGTTGATTGACTCCTTATCTCCGGCCGCATGAGTTTTTAAGGCTTTTTTTTTTTTCTTTCCCTTTTCTGTTTAATCCTTATCTGTGCTTTACGACGGTGGTGGCTTAATGATAGTTCGGACCAAAAATGAAAGCAAAAAGAAAAAAAACAATAGAATAAAAAAAAATAAATATAAACGAACAGTGACCATGTTTGCATATGTTTCGTTTTTCAAAGGGAGAGTCAGGCCACCGATTTTTAACGGCCATCCACAATGTCGACAAAGTCATCTTCATTCAAAGCTATCAAAATCCAGTTTTTAAAAAAAATAATAATTGGTGGTGGTTGGTATAAGAGAAACAAGGAAGGTTTTTTAAATGATAAAAATTCAAATAATAATAAAAAAAAAAGTTGATGAAAAACTATTAAGACAATAATATCAATAGGAAAAATCGCAAAATATTTTTAGAAAATTTTCTAGAATGAAGATGAAGTTTATAGGTTATGGCTATCTCTTTTAGTGACTCATTACAGCAATATAAGTAGCTTTATTGATAAGAGATTCTTAAAAAAAAAAACCTTTGTCATGAAGTGTTCTATTTGAGTCATTAGTTTAACCGTGATGTGTTAATACGTACAGTGTTGCCGACACGACACATTGAAGCAAATCACTAACGCGCATGCGTTGATCAATGTGTGCGTTCAGAAGTAAAGTGTTCAGGCGGCGGAGAAATGAATAGATTTTTCTCTGATATATGGACGACAGTGAATTCACGCCTGATACAACTCACCGATTCTTCTGCCTTCCTTACCTACTCTCACTTTTATTTGATTGGTTTACGAACGCCATTGCAGGGTAGTAAATGAGGGAAGTTTAGCTTCTTTTTCTTCTTGGTTTTTGATACTAAGGTTGATAACTCTGACACTTAAAAATTTTGAGAATATGTTATAATGAAACCTTTTGACTGGCTTTGAAACAGGATTATAGAATCTTTAAATGACTTTTCTTGTCATCATATTGCCTAGGCTGCCTGTTTTAGCGAAATCAGATTTAAACAAAGAAAAATACACAATAACCAAGACGGTTAACTTTCATTCATTCCCTTCTTTAAAGATTTTTTTCTTTTTGAATGACTACTAAACAAAAACAAAAGAGGTTCATTGAATATCTCAGAACATTTAGATAATTTCATAAAAGTTCAAAGATTGCACGAACTATTTTGATCGAAATTTTCCCTAAATTTGCATCATAGTGTTTTCATTAAATCGATAGAAAAAAATTTTAAAGTATAAAATTTACTTTAAAATTTTGATAAATTTATACTCCGTAAATTAATTCATATCTTTTTCTTCTAAATATTGTCTTTTCATAGTTCTATTTATCTTTATGGTCTTACACTTGACTCCCCCCCCCACGACTTCATTAAATCTCTTATTAAATTTTGATGCGTTTTCTTGTGAATAGAACGACCACGAAGGTGGGTTTTTTTTTGTCTAATTGATTCGTATCTACGAGTAAGACGATAGCTTTTCTTTTCAAAGAAGAAGCAACCCACATTGAAAATTGCTGAACTTCAGTTAATTGCCTAACATTGTGTATAAGGATTAAGATCTTGGTGAAAATGCAGCTGAGGTTTTAGCTTGAAGGATTTTACAATAATTTGATCGCCCATTAGAGTTAAGCTGTTTTAAACAGTACACCCCCACCCCTCCTGCATACACTCCAAAGGTGTGTTAAAGAAAGCTTTCATGAGAGATGAAGTAGAGCCTTGCTTTGCTCTGCAATACTCACTGAGCTATAACCTTGAGCTCAAAATATGAACTCAGATGACTATTTGAGTGTTTAAAAGCCCATTTCTAAAGTAATATATTCAGTGTTATTGCTTAGCTAAAGAAAGCTGTGATGTGGCAACGCTTGGCTGAATTAAGGTGATACACGTGCATTAAGCCGGGTCACGTGCATTCAGCCAGGTAGCGGTGAGAGACTGGCACAAGAAGACTAAAGAGAACAGTTCACCGGAAAGAGTCACGTCACTAAGAATAAGTGAGGGGTGCAGGCTTGTAGCCCGGGTAGCCTTCCCATGCGTTCGAAATGGTCAGACTACAAGGGGAAAACTTTTCCAGTTGTTCAATGTCACGTCCTCTAGCCATTATCCATTTTCCTTCTTTATCTAAAGAATTTTCTCTTTTGTAGAAAAATTAGTCATGGTGTTATTTATTTATGTAATTCTATAACACAGAAAAGAAAGAACAAAAAATGAAGAAAGAACAAAAATTAAGAAAGAAGAATGAAAAAGAAAGAAAGAATAAAGAAAGAAAGAGGGAAGAAAGAAAGAAAGAGGGAAGAATGATAGAAGAATAAAGAATGATATTAGAAGAATGAAAAAAACAGAATGAGGGAAAAATGAAGAATTAAAAAAAGAAAGAATGATATTAGAAAGAAGAATGAAAAAAGAAAGAATGAATGATATTAGAAAGAAAGAATGATATTAGAAAGAAGAATGAAAAAGAAAGAAACGAGAAAGAATGAAAACAGAAAAAATAATATTAGAATGAAAGAAAAAAGAATAAAAGAAAGAAATTAGAAAGAAAGACAGATATTAAAAAGAAAGAAAAACAGACAAATATTTAAAAAAAAAAAAAAAAAAGAAACATAGTGTGTAAAAGCGTTGGTTGATTCATCCAAAAGTGGCATGACCCAAAAGAGTTGTGAGTTCAATACCTGGCTTTAGCAGGGAGAACAAAATCTTGGAGAGTAGAATTAGAACAATCTAAATAAAGGAACTGGTTCGAAATACCAAGAAGACCGGAGCCTACAACGACCAAAATGTCGTAAATATAGCAATAAAGATAACAGCAGTTAGAACAATGTACCGTATTTTCCGGCTTACAAGACGCACTTTTTTTCCTAAAAAATACTCAGAAAAATATGTTTGCATCTTCCAAGACGTAAGGCAACGCCCAACTTGGAAGCTTGGACGGTCACCGAATTGGCTTGATTAATAGGGACATGGATTTGGATGTTAAGTCACTATAATGTTAATCTAATTCAGCATTTTATATGAAGTAATCTCATTACTTAGTTGTTACAGGCATTTTCAAGACTATAAAGCTTCCTGGAGCCGAGCCACAAGCTTAAACATGTTCTGTTTACTAGCAGCGGCGAGAGCCTTTCTGCTCTTGACTAGTATGTCATTGCCATACAAACAAAATCGGACGAGTGATTAACGTAAACAATACGTGCCACCAGTATGTGAGGGACGCATGGTGAATGTGTTGTTGTACGAGAACGTTTTTTTTTGTTTTTTTTTTAGAAATTCCTTTCCAATATTAGGGTGCGTCTTCCAATCCGGAAAATACGGTAAATAATATAAAAAAAGAAAGAAAGATATTATAAAAGAACAAAGAAATAAAGAAATCTTAGGTATTCTATACGAACACATGAAAAATTGAATAAAAAGATTAAAAATCTTAGTACCTTATCAGTCGTCTTTAATGAAACTATTATAAAAAAGGGGCTGCTGCCCAAATACACAATT